TAGCTTTAGTTAAATCTTACAGTTTTGGACCAGTTTCCGTTACCTTAACATTGTCTTGAAATTGTTGTTTCTAAAACTATTCACCTAACAGTATGCTTCGTTTATATCAATCCTAACATTGAAGTTCATAATTCGCGTTTTCATTACAAATATAATTTTGACCGGTTTCTAATTAGTTTCAGAGTGGGGTGTACTCATGCGGTTATCTGTTAAATGTATATACAGCGAAATGCAACTACACGAAAGAAATTTTACTAATAAAATTTCGATATTTTTTATTTAATCTTGTTTTGTTTGTTTATATATGAAAATCGATTGCGTGCGCATCACGCAGTAGACGATGCACTTACGATGAACCCTCAGAGCTGGATATGGAATGTATACTTCCGGTGCGGTATTCGGTGGCCGATGCTACTGGCGGCACCTCCACAGAGCGTTGTATGCTGCCGGCAGAACCGCGTGACTGACGGAGATGATGATGATGATGAGATGCATTGGAAGTAGCAGCTGCATTATATGAAGCCGTATATTGGTCTGCATTAACGGGATTGGTAGGAAGACATTGAATGATTAACACTGATTAGACATGTATGATGTACAATAATGCAAAATTATGGTAAATGCAGTTTAAGCTAAGCTGCCTCAAATTCCTGATGTTCTTGTAGTGATAGCACGCCTTTGGTATACGTTTTTACTTTCAATTTGCTTTACAGGTTGAATATTTGGATAATACTGCGCATTGTTGTAGCTATTTATATTGCTAGTAAATACGTATGTACATACAAGTAACGCAGGCACTATATAAGTACAGTTGAAATGCAAATGGGCTTTCAAAATTCACAAGCAAGCCCCTGAGCAGGATCACTTCGATCACACAAGTGGATATGTATACATTTAGGCGCGTACGCATTCATATCTTTGTACACAAACTGTCATTTCGCACATGTATTCGACAGAAAATAAGACCAACAAACTTTACAAAAAATACAAAAAATAAATGAAAATCCAAAGCAAAAAGTAATCACAAATATTTGGATACTTCAAATGAGCAATAAAAAGAAAACAAAAAAACTAGCGGGACAGAGAATAGCGCAAATTAAAGCATGAAAAGCAGCTATAACAAATAAATGAAAATACTTTATACTTGCATTCTAAGAAAATATTTGTTATACATATGTATGCTTAATGCGAAAAAATTGTTGGAAAAAAAATTGAATTTTTACTTTTCAATAAATAACTTATAACTTTTGAATGCGTAGTACAAAGACTATAAAATCGCAAAGTAAAAGTATTGAATATATATTTGAACTATAATGAATGAGCAACCGGAAAATTGAGTATATTTGTAGAACTTTTTTTTTTAGGCGTAACCTTAGCATATTAAAGCCAATTTCAACTAGTCTCCATTTCCTTTAGATAATTCATTACAACTGCTCTTGGCGACCAATCTTTGGCATTTCTCTCCAATATGCCACTAGAAAATTTTGCCTCTAAGGTCACACCTACACACATACGTACTTATGTATTACTGTGTTGGTTGTGTACGAGTGAGTGAGTGGAGTGGAGTGTGAGCGAGTACGAGCGCCCTTCTATGTCTCCCTGCATATAAGTATATGGTATACTACAGTAAACTTTGGTTGCGTAATATTGTTAAGTATACTTGATATGAACAAAAGAAATTATAATAAATTGGCAGTAGTAATAGATGATAAACATTAGAGTTCTCAGTAATTCTCCAAAGCATGCAAAAAAGGAATCCTTGTAGGGTTTGATAAGCTAGAATCCCAAGTAACCTAATTCAAGCGCATACCATACAATGTTAATATGGAAGACAGCAACAATTCAGCGAAGTAGTGATTTTTAAATAGAGATAAACAATTTGGATTAGAGTAAATATTTTGTTGGAATTCACAAATGTTAGCAGACATTTTAGATTTATATCTAAGATTCTCATACATCTTTTACTATAAACGATTGGATTTTGTATGATAGTAAAGAATAATTATTATGGCACAAAAAAGTTGGAGCAGTTTTTAAATTCTCACATATATCTGTGCACTGACGGACAGACTTGACATCAGGTTAAGTTTACGCATTCAACACTTACTACGAAGGTTGCCTTTTATATTTCGGCGCTAGAAAACAAAAGGAAATTTTAATCATCGAAACTCGTTTAGTATTTTTCAAAAATATTCTCCATTAAGATCCATACTTTTTTGCATGCGCTTAAACCAATTGTCGACACACATTTTTCACTCTGATTGAGGTATCTCCAAAACATGCGTTCTGAACGCATTAACCGCCTCTTCCGGTGACTAAAAACGTTGACCTCTTAGTATACTTTTTAACACATCAAGTCGATGTTGTGAGTGCTCAAAAATGCAGTTGTTTCAGTTGATGTGAGAGAGCTCGCATTATCGGGGCGAAGAGTGATCGGTATTTGACGGTTGGTTTTCCGCATTTCTTGAAAGATAACTGGCAAACAAATGGTTGTACAGCACTCAGAAGTTATTGTTCTGCATTGTTCTAGTGGTATGGTTTTCTAAACAAAAAAAAAAAAACAAAGGCAACAATTTGCTTAGAAGTGCTTCGTGCGCGAACAACATTTTTTGGAGTTAGCTAATCTGGAAACACCTATACAGTCGATTGCTGTTTACATTTGGGCTCAAACGCGTAAATCCACGATTCAAATGTTCATGCAATATTGCCTATGGTGGTCTTAATTTCACTATAGGTCACATGACGATTTGGCAATATCAGTTTGATGAAGCTAGAAATTTAATTAATCGCGCGAAAATATTTGTGATTTAATTCCATTTGACTCTGAGATGAACATTTTAAGTTAATGTATTGTAAAAAACAAAAATAGCGCTCCTATGTATGACATATCAAAAATGTCAAAGTTTACGGTTAAGTTGTGAGTTGCCAAATCCCGAAATATAAAAGGTAACCTACGTATTTCTGAAATAAAAGCGATGTATGTTTTTAATTAATTACTTACTTTCTCGAGTTCCTAAACAATTAATTTTGTGGCGTATTATATAAAAGTTAACAACAAATTTCGTAGAAAGTATTACATTTTGTCATTATCTGCAACCATTTTCGACCACTGAAAAGTTTTAGATACGAGTGTGATACTGAGTGTAGTTAAAAGAACTCCTGTGTATGCAAGAAAAATAAGAAATTTCATATTATTATCGGCTGCAAATACCCTTAAACTTCAGCCTGTGTGAACCGTTTACTTCGCTGGATTGTAGTAGCTTTACAGGACAAATTTTCACTCCATAAAAAAATATATAGTGTGCATAGGTATATTATTAAATATCTTAAAGCTAAAGTAAATATAGGAAGCTATAAAAACACAATAAATATTCCAACCCGAATCGAAAATATTTTTAATTTTTACGTTATTCATCGTTAAGTGCATTTGGTAATAAATTTTCATTATTTTTCTTTTTTATACTTTATTCAAAATTCGTTGCAAGTAGAAGTTAACGCTTTAAGCGAGCTTACCGTGTCCTTTTAAGTCACCTACAAACATCCTTTGACTTCATAGCCTGAAAGTTTTTTCTATTTGCGTTTTAAGGTTAGATGTTGTTGTAAAGTGTTTAAAAGCATGCAAACTCCTTAACTAATGTAATGCACTTTTAATGTTAATATATATATTCATTATAACTTTTTATTGTTAAGTGAGAAAAATATTATTAACTCATGTAATTTGTTGAAAAAGAAAGCAAGGCCGTTGTAGAAAGAAATGCGTATGACATTGCAATGGCGAAATGGCACGCTTCACTATGAATTTTAACTACTAGCTACCGCATCTTACTAATGAAATGAAAACAAGTTTTTAGAATACTAAAATATTAAACCTTTAAAACTTTTCGGGTGAATTGATAATGAGCACATCGAATGCAGCTTAATGCAGGGCATAATAACATTGTTAAAGCTTAATTAACAAAATGAAGCGTAAGTTGTAGTAAAAGCTGTGGTTCAAATACGAAAGCTTTTCAAAAACATCATGTTATACACTTTGTAATTTGGCAGAGCAAATGCTTGAAAAGCTTTCGCTTTGAAACGCATCAAATATTTATTTGCCATTTTATTTAAATAGCAGAAAGAGCCTAAAAATACGTATCGACTTTGGACGTTATATGATATTGAACTTAAATTATAAATTCAAATTGCAAATGTTGGGTAAAGAGGCTCGTTTTGCGCAGAGTTTTCGTTATACTTTGTGTTTTTTTTTTAGATATTTTAGAGCTTTCATTTGCATGTGCTGCGTTAACGCGATTTTGTCGTTGATTTCTCTTTTGGTTTGCATCGCTAGCTGCTGTTCAACCGCGGCATGCCAAGCTTTTTAGGGAGTTAATAAGCTTTTGGTGTACATTGAGACATACATACATGTATTGTTGTTTATTTACAGTAGAAGTGTGGTTTAATGTGAACTTATTGCGGCTCCAATACTTTTCGATAAAATCAAGCTTTCGGGAGTTAAAGCTTAGTTCAATATTGTTTGTGGAATATAGAGGGATTAAAGCTTAATTTTTAATGGCGAACTCACAAGGTGTCTTAATATTAGATTTGCGTATAGAAAGAGCGAAAGTTACAGGGGGTTTTTTTCCGTTTTTTTTTTCTTAACAAAAATAATCAATATTCGAAATCGTAAAAGTAAGGTTTTTTCGTTTCGTCATTTGCTATTTTTAGTTAAACAACATCTTGTGAGTCCACTTCATATATATAATATAACCTTAATCACTTTTTTTTAACCAAATAGTAATGTTTATCATCTTTACGTGAGCACTTTCGTATTTACTTTAAAGTATATTTTTTATTTAAAAAAAATTGTCATAAAAACATAAGTATTGAAATTAAATTCGAATCAAAATTTGTTAATAAATTATAAGGCTCGAATAAATTGAAATAGAAACAAATATATAGTTAAAGTGTGTGAAAGAGAGAGACAGAGATAAGAACGAAAATAGCAATAGAATTTTGCGAACCTGTCCCCACCAGTGCCGGCTCCGCCATCAGCTAATGCCTCACCGCCATCGGCTTCAGACGACGAACCGCGCGACAGTGCCCCACGTATCTCACCTGGCAGAACTTCTTCACTGCGGTGCACCGTAAATGAGTTCTTACCCTTCTTTCCAAAGCCCATACGTCTTTTACGACCTTTATATATGGTATGTACATTGATAATTGATAATTGCATAATTTTTTGCTTTAATTAATTTTGTTTTTCTTGTTCTAAAAATGTTGGATGATTTGGACTTTACTAGAAAGTCAACTAGCTTTTATGCCAATGTCCTGTTTTCAATTCCATTCCTTTAAATGTGACTATAAATTACGCAGTATTTATACTTTGACACGTACAAGCGTGTATATAATTTGATATATGTATGTATGTATGGTATATTGAAAACAGAAGCAGTCTTGCCAAATAAGAAAAAAATAAAAAAAATTTATTCGAATACGATACTATAAAAGTGAAAATGGAAATATCAAACCAAAGGTACCAACTAATGGTATCGTGTTCATAAAGATGTATGTATATTTTTTCAAATGCTTTTTAGTTTGCTTGCTATTACTGAAAATATCGCACTATATAAAATTTGCATGAATAACTTCTTCGAACTTTACAAAATGGTTAGTATGAATGTTCTATGATTTGTTACTAAATTGCTGAGAAAAATCTTTGAAATTTATATAAGCGTCTAATGGTAGATAAACTGGGCGTGCTCTTACCTGTAGCCGATAATTGCGAGGTGGAGTTGGATTTTTTACCCATACCGCTGCCGCCTTTGGGGGAGCGCTCTTGCTCTACGCCGCCCTTTTTGCGATCTGTTGCTGTATCAGATAAGCTGCCATCTGATGAAATAATCATATGATTAGTTAGTTTACAAATAATTAATACTGGAAAAAGAAAATATCGAAAACATCGAGAAAACAACTACGATAAAAAAATATTGAAACTAAATGCATTGCAAATTTTGGCCCTTGAAAACATTGGTCTTTATATTGGCAGCGTTTTTAAAAACATTTTTGAAATTTTTCGGTTTTAAGGCATAAGATCTAAGATGTCTCTACCTGAATACTCTTGTTTAGAGAGACAGCGTTGTAATTGGGAATCATTTTAAGATGACTCTCTGATGACTCTGTAGAAAGAGTCGATGAATATATAATATATTTATGAAAATCTTTGAAATTTTTAACAACTTCACCTATCCTAAGTAAGGAGACAATAATTCTTGTCATAATTGGGCCAGAGATTCACAAACTCAAAATTTACTCGATTTAGAACTGACCGGATAAAAATCAGGTTTCGTCTCAGTTACGTTGACAGCAAATAATCAGCTACGTCACGTAGAAAGTAAAAAGGCAACGGGAAATTGGAGATAGCCTAACTTTGGGGCCGAATTGCGGAGCATACTTCTGACTTCTGGTGCGATATGGTGGACCCGACAGTCAAGAATAAGAAGATTTAAGACCGCCATAAACATTGATAGCTAACAGCTTTGTGTTTAATTTACAATATAAAAAAGTAATATTTCAAGTTGAATATAAGTCAAAACACATACTACCATAAATACTAAATACGCACATACAAATGTTTACATCTACACGACATTCATGAAAGTACATACACATAGACATACATATTAGCTTACCAACTTTCTCATCAACACTCTGACTAAAGTTGGCATCGTCCTTCTTCTCCTCACCACCACCGTTTTTGTCTTTGTCATATTCACTGAAGTCATCGTCCAGCATAGCGTCGATGGCATCCCAATCGATGACGTCAAGTGGCGCATCGGCATCATCCGTGTCAGCGACATCGCCAGAGGTTGTTGTTGTATCACCAGTATTCATTGTTGTTGTTGTTGCGGCAGCAGGATTTGTTGTTGAGGTTGTTAAGGTTGAATTTGTTGTTGCCATTGCAGTTGTTGTTGTTGTTGTATTCGACGATGATGTGGTTGTGATGTTTGTGGATGTAGTTGTTGTTTGTATGGGAGTTGTAGTTGTTGTTGTTGTTCCGTCAACGTTTACGTTTAGGTTAGCGTCGTTAGTTGTATTTGTATGTTTCAATGAGGCACGTTTAGGTGATGTGGAGTTAGCGACACCATGATGGGAATTTGCAAAAGAGGAAGAAGAAGCATTATTAGAAATATTACCACCGACGACGATATTACCAGCAGCAGCAGTAGAAGAAGCATCACCACCACTACCACTCCCACTACTAGATTTCGTCTGTTGTTCCGCGCCGTATGAAACTTCTTTCCCTTTTTGCCTAACACTACCACCACTACTAACAAAACTATTACTACTTGCATTTGTTGTTGCATAATTACGACTAGTGTGCGAGTCTATATAGGGATCACCGTAATCATCGTATTCGAAATATTCGGGTTGGTCATTGATACTAACGAGATTACTGCGATCACTGCCCGATTCATGCTGTAACTGTTCTACACGTGTACGATGACCACCACCGGTGGCCATCGATGATTTACTGCGTTTCGATACAATTGATGAATGATGACGTTGTTGACTAGGTGATGTGCCTGACCCTACCGAGCGACTGAGATCACGCGGATCACGTTCATCGCGTGGATCACGTTGATCGCGATGTTCGCCAATTGGTCCCGGTCGTTCGGCGGAGCCTGTACCGTTCATAGATGTTGGTTCGCCACTATGCGGTGGCAGCGTAGCAGACGAATGTGTGGTGGGGTCCATTAACATGGGGTCGTCGTCGTAACCCTCAACGGGTGAGAAATTGTGGGCATTTTGTGCGCTTGGTGGATGTGGCAGATTCCGACGTCGCTTTTGGTATGGCAGTGCTGCTCCGTAAAGCTTTTCCTGATTGGTGCGTTGTAAATTTAGAGACATATGATTACGTTCGCGGCCATCGCAGCGACGTCGTGGATCGTGAAATACAGACGGTGCAACGCCGCGCCGCGTCCAACCCACATCCGAATCATAGGTAATCGTAACGATCTTATCGTCAGTCACAAGAAAGTGTGAGTGACTAAGTGGATTGACTGCGTCAACATTGGCACCCATATAAGATTGTCGTATATTTGTCTCGGAACCGTAACGGCGAGATAGCTCTTCCAGTGGCGGATTATATATCTCGTCTTCGTATCTTATGCGACGACGGCCCCAACTCTTCGCGTGTAAATCATCATAATCTAGTGAACGTGATTGACCCTCATGAAACATTTTTCGCCGATCTAATGTGCCCGTTGGTACACCAACTTTCGGTTTTTTCAATATAGAAGTAGGCTGCGCTTTTGATTCGGCAATTGGTACAGCCGTTACAAGTGCGTCTTCGCTTAATTGTCGCGACAGACGCAATACCGATTGTGTGGGCAGTTGAGGAGGCGGTGCAAGTGAGGACTTGGCTTTTTTGTGCGCCGTTGGCGTTGGTGTATGTACGTGATAGGTGGGCACAACGCCCAAGTCGATTTGTGGTGCGGTAAGACCGCTCACGAAATGCTGATCCACACATTCGCCGCATATTGCCGGATCCATAGTTGGCAGTGAAGGCTCTGATGATGGCTGATACATGGATAATGACGGTCTACGTAGCAGTTGCTCGGCTGTATAAGGATAGGCAACCGGATGATGCTGTGGATGTGGATGGGATTCAGCAATGCAAAATGGATTGTCGCAAGCGCCTATGGCTATGCCGGGTGTGGTGAGTGCAGCATTTGTCGATAGTACGACCGGCTGGCTACCGTTTTGGCAGTGGCTGCATGTATTGTCATAATGATCGCGCACATAGGCAATGTACGATGAGGGCGATGATGATACGGAATGGGCGTGCTGATGCGGCGAATTGACTGCAGCAGCAGTCGGTGTACTTAGTGTAGAGCTTGGACTATGACGAAATAGATTCATTACGGGCGTGGTGATACGTTGCAAATGATCGTAGAATGGATAATGGCTACTGGACCCTAAGGAGCTATCACGTGGAAAAATATTTTCGGTGAAAGGACTGAAATCGGCAGCATGAGTTAGAAACTCGGGGAAATGTATGGAATCTGGTATGTGAGGTAAGTATTGATGTGGATGAAATATATGGGGGTGTAGCTGTGGATGTGAAAGTGATGGCTGTTGTTGTTGCTGCTGTTGCAATTGTGTGCTGACAGTGTGCGCTGGCGGCGGCAGCGGCGGCGGTAATGTGGATGGCGGTGTAGGCGGTATCACAGTTACGCCCGCTGGCTCCATTAACAGCAAACCCGGCTCGGTGCTTCCATTAAGCATATACGGATCCACTACTAAATTGCCGCTATTGTCGGTCATGATAAGTTGGCTTGGCAGTTGTGTTGGTTCATGTAGCTGTTGTAATTGTTGCAGTTGTTGCGGTTGCAATTGTCGGTGTGGTGGTAATAGGTGATGTGTTGACGCATTTGTTGCGGTTGTACTGAGGATATTGTGTGGATTGGATGCCGCCACCAAATGTGCCGTGTTTGGCGGCGAATCAGCAGCCGCTAGCTCGGCAAGTTGTTGCAGCTGCTCTAACTGTTCCAACAACAACATCTGTTGTGACGCTGTATTGAGGTGTGGCGGTGACTGCCCCATACCGTACAGTGATGGGGCGTCTGTTAAGCTGGTTGGTAAAAAATCACAATCATCGACTTCGATCGTATTGGCGCGATAGCGTTCAAAGAAGCCGCGTTCCCGAGCGTGTGCATGGTGACCGGCAAGCGTGGTGGTGGGGACATTGCCTGCCATCGGATCGGCGCCATACAAGGTGCGCCAATTGCGTGGCAAACTTTTGATGGTGTGAACGACCGATTGTTTGGTTGGGTTTGAGCGGTTGCAATTTCGATTTCAATTTACGTTATGTTCATGAAGCCGCGTGTGCATTTGAGAACGGGTGTGTGTTGGTAGTTTTTTAAATTGTTTGGATTTTGTATTTTTGGGTTTTTTTAAATTTTTTAGTTTTGTTGTTTTTGTGTGTTGTTTTAATCCGCATGCACATGCAAGAATGCAAAATGATCAATGCAGGTTTATTTGGAGTTTATTGTGGTTTGTTTGTTTGTATTTTTGTTGGAATTCGGTTTTTATGAGATTGTATTTGTTGTTGTTAATTTCGTATCGTTTGCGTTAAAAAGTAAATTATTTTGTTAAGAAATTATGCAAAAAAGTTTAACATATTGCCATGTAACGGTTTTTCGGTGCATAGTGGCATATTTTGTACGTTGTTTGTTGTTGTTGGTTGACGTCAGTCAGTCATTTTGTGTAGTGAAATTATGAAAAAGTTGTTGTGTTTGTTGGGTGTAATTGATTGAACATTTAGTTGGGGTTATTGTTGTTGTTTTGTTGACATTTTAGTTGTAGTTTGTTGTTGTTGGCATATATAAAGCAGTTCAACATAAAATTAGCGGGCGTCATTGAAGTGAAGTAGAGTAGATTTTTTGGGTTGAGTAGAGTAGAATTAGTTGAGTTGAGTAGTTGAGTTGAGTTGAGTTGAGTAGAGTAGGTATGTAGGTATGTAAAAATAATAAAGAAAAGAACACAAATTTTTGTTTGTTTTCCAGCAAAATTTGCCATATTGAGAAAAAGTGTTAAGTGTCAAAAAAAAAAATCAATAATAATATTGCCAGGGTTGTAATTGCTTGAGCCAAATTTCGTCACAACTTAATTTGCTTTTGCTTTTTCCAAATAAAATAAAATGATCTGAGGTGTGTAAATAAAACGATGTAAAATTTTTGTACGGATTTGCTTCACAATTGTGTCTGATTCCAATTCAAAACTAATTTCGATTTGTAACGGCTGATTGTTCGACTGATTTGATTTGTTTGTTTTTTTTTTAGTTTTTTATGATTTGGCACGATTTCATATTAATATTTTTTGGCTTGGTTATGGTTTTGGTGCAGAAATTTTGTTTCCCGGCTGTTTACAACAAACACACAGCAACCCAAAACGAAAGCGTTTTTTGTGGGATACAAGGGAAAAGCCGCTCGGCTAGCAGGCCAATAAGCAGCTACTTACCTCAGTCCACGTGAGCCGCGTGGCCGTTCCGATTGTGTAGAGAAGGCGCTCGATGTCACGCTAACCACCGACTCCATATCAGAATCGCCAAATTCTCCCATGAAGTCCTTATCGGGTGATAACGAGTGTCGCGGTCGTGTCCGCGCCTCCATCGATTGTAGATCGCTGTCGGAGAGTCCAGTATAGTGGCGCTCCCAGCCACCCATGCCGGTGCTACGGTATGTAGCCTGATGATGAATTTGACGCGTGCGATGACGGCCAAAGCGACCGCCACCCGGACGTTCATCGAACTCATGACCCAAGCGATCGCGTAGCATAGCGCTGCGTGAAGTTTGTGGTACCTAAAATGCAAATGTAAAAAAAAAAACTTAGGACAGGCAGAAAAATTAGCATTACTCCGAGCGAACCTGTGGTAGCTGCCGCTTTTTGGGCGAACCCGTCGGTGTAGCAGTTGCGGAACGCGACTGAAAGCGTCCCTGTTGCGCTGCACCAGTAGGGCCAATTGTTGCGCCTCCTAAGCCACCCAAGGCAACACCACCAGTGGTGGCACTCAAAGAACTCGCACCACCCGACAGTGAATGCCCGTATGCTGAGCCACCTGTTGCGTGTATTGGAAGCACTGGATAGTCTATATAGCGATCGTCGGGCGGTGAAAGTGAACCGCGTCGCGGGCTGCTGCTGCGATAATAACTGTGACCGCTGCCGGTCACACCGTGATAGCTGTCGGTCGGTGCAGCGGAGTGACTGCGCTGGCTCAGGCTCATGCCACTGGTACCAGTGATGGCGCCATTGCGACGCAAATAACCAGTGCTCACCTGCTGTTGGCAAAATTCGTAGCGGTAGCGAAAATTTGTAAATATATATAAAAGAATTTTATTGCAATGGAAATATGGAAGTGATGTAACATATTTAAGGTAAGCTAGATATTGTAGCGCACGTGAAACGCCTCACTCGTGCACATCACAGGGGGGAATTTTTTTCACTCACTTATTAAATAACGAAACATTTTCTTTTAACTGAAAATTATATACTTGGCTGTGAAAGTTCTAAAATATTCAAAAGCAAGCAAAAGTTCATTTTGTTTTTGTGGAATACTTTTAAAAAATTGTATATAATTGCAATCAATAGTTACACACTTATAAATACAATAACTAACAAGAGAAAATCTAAAATGTAGTTGGAAAATTCGCATAAATACAGTTAAATTATATTACAACAGCGTATGGAAATTTAATTTTTATCTATATGAAAACTCTACTAGTAAAGGCATACAAATGTAGGCTTTGGTTCAAAGGCTGTAGCGACGCGGCAAATGTGAGTTTTCTAAGGCGTTGGCGTAATGATTGTGCGTCAGGCTGGAATGTATAAAGTGACACCTATTTGCCGTTAATGAAAGCGATGATATATGTTTAACAGAGTGACATTTTGCTACCTAGTTTATAATATTTCAAATTCTTTTCTAGGAGCATTGTTTTCCTATCTAATTATAGGTTGAACCTACTAAAAGTTAGATTAAGTTTATCATTGGTTGCTTGATAGTTAGTGTTCTTATGGCATGACAGATTTTATCTCTTACGGTAACACTAATCTTGAGTAAATTTTATTGGCATTCAAAGCTGAAGTTTGTAGAGCAAGAACTTAGTAGTTTATGAATTAGATGGGTACAAATTATACAATTGCGTGGGAAGTGGTGTCTTTCCAGCAAAATTAGATACGAAAATCGCCTTCCGTCTACCAGACTACAACAGTGTCTTCCAAGCGGAAATTGTAGCAATTAAAGAAAGCCTTCTTGTTCTGACAAGGAGTGTGCTCACAATAAGAACTATATTTATATATACAGATATCCATGCGGCATGTGATTTTAACACTAAAGTCTCTTAGAGTTTCGTCAAAGCTAGTGAAATAATGTTTTGATCTCCTACTTGATCTAACATCCTATTTCACGATAAACCTTCAATAGGTTCGAGGGCATAGAGATATTCTTGGTAACTGTGAAGCAGATGAACTTGCCAGGCACTCAGTTAGACTCCGGCAAAGAGTGTGTTTATATGTCTTTAGCTACAAGTAGATATTTAATCGACAAACATTTTTAAATATACTTGAATCTCTGTGTGGAATAAATTCCTAACTTTCTCAACAAGCAGACAAACATGACATGAATGGAATATGTGTCGCACATGCCGACTATTAAAAATCAAAAGGAATGTGTTAAAAAGGAGTTAACGATATAATTGGTAGATACGCCAGGATACTGGGAAGACCATCTGGTAGAAGAAGAGGAAACTATAAAACATCTGCTATGCGAATGTAAAGCTTTGTATGTTTCGGAGGTTGCACCAATTTAGTACTGTTGAACTTCATCAGAAGCTCGGGATAGTAAAATAGAGTGTAAGGATAATTATCACGGTGGTTTCACAATAGTTATCTTAAAGATTTAGGTGCGTTATCAGACAACCATTCTACCTACCTACCTAATATTTTGTTTCTCCTTGACTATCCTATTTTTTATACGTAAGTCGCCTAACCTTACTTTAATGCTATATATAAGTACTAGAAATCATTACGCGGTGTTTTACGGTCAGACTTCTGAAATTAAGTTACGCAAATCTATTTGAAAATTAACAAGACCCGTTAGTTGCTGCAATATATTTAAAGATCTCAGTATTGTGTAAAATTTTCCAATATATTTAAGCTCGCAATTTATTTTTGAAATGTATGTTAACGTTTTCTAATATTACTATAAATCTTCTTTATATTGCGACGAAACTCCTAACATTTTTATTCAGCTGTTTTTAAGCTGTGGTCCGTAAAGTTTTAATGGCTCTCACAAGTAATATTCCATCTACATACATGTATATATGTATGTATATACCTACATATGTATTTGTAATTGCTTTCAAACCTGATTATGGTAACTTTGTCCAATGCCAGATACCGTACGATAATCACGTGATACCATACCAGCTACACGCTTGCGACCTTGCGGCGACATATCGCGTCTTGAACGACGCTCATTCAAATCAATCTGCAATAGTGGTGAATTTCGAAATTTTTTGTGGTTTGCAGCCCAATTTTTTAAAATAAAATTTCAATTGGCGGAGCCGTATATATATATAAGCCAAAATATTTTTGAAATGAAGGCGGTTGAGTTTTGGTGCAGCATAGGTTGGGAATTTTAAAACGTTGCAATATTGGACAATTATTTAATTTGTCAAAATTTTTAGGTTATAGGTGAGCGTAATTAATTTGAATGTCATTAAAAGAGTATGAAAGAGAGAAGAGAAAAAAACATAAACAATATAAGTGAATGAGAGAACTATAATATAACAATAAAGTCGTGTACATAAACTATGCTACAGAAGAAAACTATTTTCGGTTAATTATTTACAAAAATGGGTAACATTTTCAAATTTTAATGAAATGTTTGAAAGGAATGGGGTAGCATAACTAGAATGACTTTTTCCAGCTGTTTGGTTTTTAAGGGTTGTTAAGAGTAGGATTGACGCACAAATGGAGCGGTTGTGTTTAACTATAGTAATATAGTTGTGTACATACAAATGTATGGATGTGATAAAGGTGTTGCGGTGGAATACTTACAGCTAGATATGGTTAAGTTAAAAAACATTAACAAGTATAATATTATATTATATGTGTTTGGCAGGTGATATGGTGAAATGTGGTGAATACGGGTGATCGTGGCAATGGTATCTATCATATAAGCTATTTGCATAAATGGTGTAACGAAAAATTGTGTTGGAAATCTTTTTGCTGAGCAGTTTTGAGTATTTTCAAAGCATACATTAAGGCATAAAGCTAGAACATACGTAGTTTATGATAATTAGCGCAATGAAAGTAGTAATACAAACTAAATATGATACGATTAGCACAACATACACTAACGCATGCAACAAATTACTAAATAGGTGTATTAAAAATTACTTAAAACACAGACACAAATTCGGTCTTAGTAATTTTTGCCTGGATAATTATTTCTTAAACTTTTTTGAGCTGACGAAAGCATTTTTTTTTTTTTTTAATTTTTTTTAATCAAATGCTTGATTCTAAATAGTTTTGTGCATATGTTCTCATTACTCAAGTAATGCTTTTGACATTTCTTAATTATTGCTTAAATTAAATTAATTGCTAAAATATTTTACATATAACATTCTAAAATATTTATTATAAATTTACATAAATCAGTTCTTTCAACACAAATGTAATTTCTGTATTTTTACAGTAATAGTTGTATATATAATATATGCATATAGAGCTTTCGCTTATAATAGCACGTTTCATAAAATCACACATGAATTACGCTTAAAGTTGTTTTTGTTGTAGTTGTCAAACAATCCAAAATACTACACAATATCCACAAAAGTACACGCTAAAGTTTGAATCTGAAAATTCTGGTTCAAAAAGAGCACACTTTCTTTTAAAATACAAGCGCATAGTTAAAAGTGTGTGTGAGAGAGAGAGAAAGAGCTACAGAGTTGCATTTACAAGAGCGCATGTGTTTTGCTGTGTATATGTGTGAGAAAACATCGGCAGTCATTAAAGAATGGTTAGTTCGTGCGATCGTATGTCTGTGGACGAGCATAAAGGCAGTAGAAAAGCTAATGCAAACATTTGTAGAAAGCCTGGCTTTGAGAGAAAATTCTTTACACAACACCAATCAGAAAAAAATGTAATAATACGAAGGTTCTATAAAATATCTGTTATATATGAATATATATATTTCCTATGAAAATATTTTAATAATATTTATGCATTGCGAAAGCGATTACAGAGAATCGTAATTTTAAATATTTTTTCGAATTGAATGAGAATGACCTAATATTAGTCTCAATGCGCTTAGAAATGTTTAATTAGTGAATGAAATAATGTGTGTTGCAGGAGATTTTCGAAAATCAGCGATAAGTACGAATTTTAATGTACAGTTGAAGTTTCTAGAAGGTGGTGAAATTCGAAAAACTTCAACTTACATTATGCTCAGAATTTAATAGATATCTACGCCTTATTCATTGTATTATTGTCGACTCCAAGGCTTAAAACCATAATTTTGTGTACATACACTGTTAAAAGTTAAGATCAGATTCATTTATTCGAAGCTCAATATTTAATTGAGGAGATGTGGTTATATGCAGGAGAGGAGCAGGAGTATGAGTGCACCCGCATACATTTGGAATGTATGCGTTGAGAGAGCATAAGTAAGTTGTCGTATAAAATTTAGCTGTAATACTTGTATAATGAAGTGAAAGACTTTTTACAAAAAGAGAGTTAAAGAGCTTTTTTTTGTATTCAATTAGTAAAAGCACAAAACAACGTATTTTTTCTTGAAGGCTTACTTAAATCTTAAGAGCTGTTACGGCATTGCGACGTAAATATTAATAGTTATATATATGTTAGTTGTTTCTAATTTATTTCATCGTACAAAAAACGGGAATACTAAAGAAACCAGAACAAATATACAAAGGGAACAGACAATATTCAGAAAATTAAGCTAGCAACTCGAAATATTTGAAGATTAATTAAAATTTCTCACTGCGAGTTCGACTATTAATTCTGTACCATTTAAACTCAGGCTATTTGAACTACAGCTTCATACAAATGACCAAGTTACAAATAATGTTTTAATCAAAGCTTTCTAACTTAATTTATTAAGCGCATTTCGTATTCTATAAAGCTTTTATTTGTAATATTGGACAAGATCAGAAATGAGTTCACATTTGGTCGACTAGCAATAGCGGATTTTTCAGAGCTTTCACCATATTGGTGAAGCTTTCCCTGTTCAACAATGTATGTATATATTTTGAGAAGTGTACTCGCGATTTCGAAGGCAAATATTATGTTGTTGTGGACTTATGTGTTAAAATGTAAATGACTTTATGATGGTGTGTATATATGTACGTAATTGTTTTTGTACAATTTATTGGAATTTTACTTATGTGCTTTTGTAAAAGCTTTTTATTGTATTCTAAGTGTTTTTTCGCAATAGTAAATTATGAAATGTGTATTTGTAAGATATTTTCCTTCCAATAATATTTTCTGGAAAAATGTGTACATGTATATGTCAAATGCATATCAAATGTTTGTTGTTACATTAGTCTAACTCTCCTAATATTGCTCATATAATTTAGCAGAAATATATGAATTCTATTTAACATAATTCGATTTATGTAGTTCTTAATAATGCGTTGTTGGATGGTTTTCATTGTGTGTGTTACCTCTGGTGGTGGACTTGATGAGCTGCCCAATGAAGATATGCTTGCGCCATCACGCCCCGGCGTCAGTCCATCGATGTCACATTCAGACGTCGCATCGGAGTCGCTAAGACGTGACATTGTGCTGGGTGGTGATAAATGATCTGTCGGTGTTAAAATCATAATGTCCGCTTCACTGTGGTCGTCGTGATGCAACTATGATGGGATAGGAAATGGAGAGGGCGGTGTTTAGTTGACACACATAAAATGGAAGGTGCTTCACATATACTTATATGTATATACGAATACATGCGATTCTTATTTTTTTTTGTTTATTTTGTTATTTTTATACAACTGCACATGTATTTGCATATACACGCACACATACCAATAGAACAGGGTGTTGGGCGTGAATAAAGTTTTGGGTACGTGTGGTTTAATTTTAATGCGCTCAATGTGGTATGAAATGCTGAAGTATGTGTGACGATACGAGATCATTTATCATTTATTGCAGTGGCTTAGATGTCACGACTATTAATATCATTTTTAATATGAAGTTACTTTTAGTTTTTGGAAAATATTTATATTAAAAATTTATATTTTTAGTTTATGAAATTTTCTCCAACAAAACCAGCTAAACTAAGCGTTTTATTTACCCTAATGCCCGCAAGGACACAGTCTTTATTATTTTATTAAAACGATAGCAAGCAGAAATCGAAGTCATTTTTATGCACACACAAATTCAATTAGAGTAAATGCGCTTACTTAGTAGAGGGTTGAAAGGAAACAATATAAGTCTGAAGCAGCTCTGATTGTCTTGCTTTTTCTCTGCCACTCTCTCTTGTTTCAATCTCTTTGGCACTTAATAGCAATGAAAAAATCTCATACAGAATCAGCTTTGGAGGCGTTTTCTTTAGGCGTTAGACGAAATATGGGTCAGCAGAATCGAAGCGGCCAGTCACATATTGCATTTTCTATGAAGTCCGCTTTTGTTTTGGTGATGATTGATTATAGTAGAGAAATTAAATCTGAAGCAGTATCATGACAGGCATTAATCGAAAGGAAACTTCATGACTAAAATATATATTTGGATTCAGGTTTCATTGTTGATCGAGAGGGAGCTCATAACTAAGATATATATTTGGTAAGAATCAGATTTAATTTTTGTTGCAAACATGTTCAGATCATCGGTGTGGTAAAACGCCTAATCAAACATGTTTGAATTTCTTGAAAGAGTGTACGTAAAATAGAAAATATTTTTTAAAGAAATAGAAAAATATCTGTGCAAGTTATTGTTACTTTATTGCTAATGATTGCGCTTGAGCCAGCATTGTTGTCATAGAGGTCTTAGAAGAGAGACTTGGTGTCTTGTGGAAGCTTTTTGGCTACATTCACATTTTGCATGTCAGGGCGAAGTCTGAACAATATTTGTGTGGTATTGAGAACAAATTTGAGTACGAGGAAATCTTGATTTTTTTTTTAGTACTGGTTTTTACAAGTCACTCATAACGTTACAAGGGAAATAGCTTTGTTTCAACTATGAAAAGTGCAATTAAGGACTTAGAGAAAAGCGCGTAAAAGAGATTGCCTGCAGTCCCTTCACTTTTCGTGATATTTGCCTAGAAAGATAAAAGGTTCGTTAGTTTTCCGAGACTATGCCGATTACTGATACTTTTGACAATTTGTTTTAACGCTGTCTAGTTCGGTGAGCTTATTGGAGTTGGATTATTTATGGATAAAATAGAGCGCTACGTTATCAACGGAGAAACTATCGTCAAAAAACTGTTTTGTTATATAGTTAAAAGTATACATCTAACAAAATTAAGTATACCTATGTATATAATATCAATGCGTAGATTCTAAAACACTTAAGCATATTCCTGCGGTGTACAATGTTTTTAGTATACTGTTACTCTTTAAATACTTTTTGGCATACACAGTTGTCAACATTGACACTGGACAATGCTAACATTGGTCACTAGTTTAAACGAGTATATAAGGACTGTAAAAAAACGAACGGTATAAATTCAGACATACGAGATACGAAGTGTCCTGATGCGGCTGCAGCTGATACCATTCCGCTTCGTCGTCGAGCACGTGATGCGCCAAATCAATGACCACTTCACCGATAAAGTCATTGGCTCCATAGCGCACATAATCCCACAGCGTTACCTAATACAAGCGGCAATCGAAAGAACACCGTTAAATTAAAATGAAATTAAAAAACAAAATAACAATTTCCATAAATAAAATGAAATTCGAATTGCAACAGCGTTTAATTACTTCGAGTAAGCGACCGGTGAGATCGGAACGCCTTAAGCCTGTATAAACGAAGGTTTGGCCCCAGCGCGGTTCGCATGTTGTCGCTAAAGTTTTGGTGCGTCTTTTTGATTTTGTACCCCGATCGGGTAGAAGGAACACCTAGTTGTGCGATAGGAAAAATTAACATACGATTAAGCGCTTGCGATTTAACGTGGATTATATATTATATAAAGAAATTTTGTTGTGCTTGCTATTCGCGATTTCCGTCTTATTCGCTGCAGTTTTACACTCACTTTTGCATAAGGATTGCGAGCGGCACCGCTTTGACGCAGCGTGAGGCCCGTCGCACAGACGATAGTAACTATCAGCTGCAGGGTATTCTGATCGTAGCCGAGTTTCATCTGCAAGCGGCCCTCGACGGCCATGGACAGCACATGCGCCACACCCACTGTGGGTAAGTGGTGGGCGGCGGCATGTGGATGCGTGTGCGATGACGGTGGTGGCTGGTGGTAATGATGATGGTGGCCCGCCGTCGTCGTTGTAACTTTAGTACCGACTGCTGTTGCACTGCCTGTGTTCGCGACGTTCGCGCCGTGCCGTTGTTGTAGTTGTTGTTGATTTTGCGATTCTTGCTTCGGTTGTGGATGCGTTGAGTGCTGCTGATACGTACCGGCGTCGCCGCTGCAGCCACGTTGTTGTACATTCGTCTGCCGCAATGTATGCGCACCGCCGCTAGTGGCGTGTAAATCGGGCGAACCGGGCGATGTGATTAGTACGCTCGGCTTGTCGCGATGATGTTCGATTCCAGCAGCGGCAGCGGGCGCTGTTTGAAGAGAATGGTGAAATAAAGTGATATTATTGGATTTCAAGACATATATAATAAAGCATATAGTCTAGTGCAAAGCAATTGTTTGAGGTGGCGTGGAAGTAGGTATTGATAAGCTAACACCTCACATACATATCAATCTGCTTAAGCTGCAAACACGCTCAAATACCAGATTTCTTGGGGTGTTTAGTGTGTCAAGTGAATGTGAGATGTGTGGCAACTCATATGATTGGTTTATATTTATATGTATGAGTATAACTCTGCTCTGAGTGGAAAGCAAACCATAACTTTTAATGACAAAACAGTGGTACTTATAAATTATCTACATAATTCTAACTTTTACTTTCTTTTTTTAATTTGTGCTGTGTACCTTTTCGTGTGTAATAACGTCCACCGCTGCTGACCACAGCACTGCTGGCAATGGTGCTCGCGAGACATTGATTATGCAATGACACGCCCTGTTGTTGCTGATCGCCTCCTTTACGTATTGCATTGCTTTCAGCGGCGTTGGCGGGTAGAGGTCGCGAAACGACCAATTCGACCTGCGCGTCCAAGCGACTTTCGTCAATTATCTGATAAACCTCGTCCGCATGCTTATTGCGCAGTGCTCGACCGTTCCATTCGATGATTTCGTCGCCTGATGCAAATGAAACAAATGTGATGAGAGAGAGATAGAGACAGGGCGAGGAAGTGAGATAGAAAGATGTGGTTGTAAAATACAAATGCGTGCAAGTGTGAATGAATAGCATATAGGCTGTCTTCGATCCGCTATTTCTAAGCTTGACAACTTTAAGTGCACAACAAAGTTAACGAGTTAAACTCGTCTTACAAGAGAGTGTTTGAATACCCTATTAATTAAAGTTCTGTTTGGCAGATTTTTGACAAATTTTACAATTGTATTCTAAATAGCTGAAACCACAAATTACTGAAAATACAAAGAAAGAAAGATGCTATCGAAACCTTTTGTTGCTATGGAAAATTATTTTGAAGGATCTTTTTGCGGAAGTTTCGAAGTTGCAAGTTTCGATGAACCGAATAAAAACTAAAATGCGCAGTTAAAAAGTTTCTGGAATTTTTATCAGTTGTCTGTCAAGGATAATCTTTTTGGAATACATTGGAGTGAATAATTTCTAAAATGTTATTCTTGATATACCATGGTCTATGATTCCTTAAGTACTCCTAATTTAAGATAGAACGGAGAAGTCGGAGATGCCTTTTGAAACAACGAAAGAGTAGTACATTTTTTAAGAAGCTGCAATTTTCGGAGTTTCCAGTGTAAAGATTGAGATTGGAGTTTCGTCGTTGACTACTTTTTGAAAGGCGAATATCCTTTTGTGATTTGTTGAGACTACGAGACTACTATATCTGATGACCACAATTTTTTTTTTTACAAAATAATTTTCCTTGGCTCTAGCCCTAATTGGTTGAAACATTAGCTAGTTAAAAAAAAATTAAAAATTGAAAAATTTTTTTTTTAACAACGACTACCCTTTTGCCTTCCACGTTCGTACGTTAAAAATGTACTGTGAAAAAGCTATGCATGCTCATGAGTGCTTGTATGCTATGTATGTTACATTGTTTACCTGGTCGTATTTGTCCTACAACATCGGCTACCGAACCTCGCTTAACCTTTTCAATGAACGCACCGCATTCGGCTATTTTGTTATGCCCGTTCGCTGCTGTTGTCGGCCGTTGACCGCCTATAACTTTCAAGCCGAGAATATCCTCACCATCGTAGTACTTTCGTAATATCATACGACCAATTAGGCATGTATTATCCGTGGATATTTGCCAATTCACCGGTTGCTAGTAGTTTTTTAATTTTTAAAAAAGTCGTTTTTTCGTTTTAAAAGCGTTAACGATGCTCGTAGATATTCGATTGATTGGACGGACGTTTAAACAGGTGATATATATTTGATTATGATGATTGTGGTGTTGGAGTGCGTTGATGGAATGGTACGGGTGTGACCAATCGTTTACGTTTAGTTAAATTTTTTATTTGTTTTTGTTTTGTGGGTAGGAGAAGGTGGCGGAGATGGAAGTTGCATAGAACAGGGTAAATGAAAAATTTATGAATATTGTTGCATAGAAGTTTGTCAATAATTGTTGTAAACATTCGTTGCTATAAATTGTTAGTACATAAAGGAATTTAAGTTAATTGCGCCAAACAATAATGTTGACTCTTACATTAAGCTTAAAGTTATTACAGTACTAGTTGGGTGTTTGGTAGTTTTTCACTATCTTCACTCAATTTGTAGTTGTTTTTATATATGTACATACGCTCAAGTTGTGGTTAATTATATTACAAATAGAATTAAAAAATAAATAAAAATTTACTTAAACGCTCATTTTACTCAATTCATATGCAATACATTCCCAGTATAAATGCTTTTTTACATATATATAAACAATTTCATGAATGTATTTTTATACAATTAATGATAAGCATAGAGTTTTCACTACAATATAGAGAGACGTTTTTCTTTACATTTCCTCAATACAGTAAATATTTGCCTAAAAATATAAATTCATTTCATTTTGCTTTTTTCAAATGAATGAGAACACATACACATTTATTGAAATCATTGTCAGGCGTCAAAATTTTCCTTAAATGTACGTAGCTAAAAAATATCCAAAGATGTGTAGTTTGAATGTAGCATGACATATTATTTATAACATGCGATACTTCAACTTACAAAACATATATTTAATTATGCAGTAGGTAATAGGTGTAGTCACATAGATAAATATATACATAGCAACAATAAAGCAATGATACTACTTGTACCGTTAAAAATACATATATATATGTATGCACATATATATAGCGTAAATATATTTATCTGTGCACAAATTACAAAAACTTTGATATTTATATTTACTATAAGTACATTTCGTGATATTTTTTTCCAGCTTATTGTGGGTTCAATATTGTGTTTGCTAGCATGTAAATGATAATATGTTAATATACTCAATTATTGTTAGTTTATTAGCACTCAACCGTAAAATTTGATAAATGAAAGCAACATAGTGCACCATTCAATAAATCGTCTGATTGGCAAAAAAATTTAGTCAATTAGAAAATTTTAGCTTTGCTTAATAGTATAAAATTAGTTAATTGTGAAACTTTCCTATGCATAATTATATGCAATTAGCTAATTGATGATTATTTATAATACAATATTTTGTTGATAAAGCGAGAGAAAAAGAGAGAGAGAGAGATAAATATAAAGCGTAAATATAGATATAAAATACAAATAGAGCTAATGAAAATTCATCCAATTATCATTGTGTAATGTGAGGCAGGTAAATTTGCTATATACGACAATATCAAATATCCATTCTGTCACAAATTATGGAAAAAGTTTGCATTGCAGCTATATGTTATGGTGATCTGATCTGAACATACATACATACTCTATTGGGTCTCAGACGTATCCTTCTGTGTGTTTCAAACATCGTGGCAAACTTAATATAACCTGTTGCGGTTATAGAAACAAGATAACAGAAAAAAATTAACAGAAGTAGACGTTTGACACATATCGAACGCTTGACTGGAACTTGAGGCGAGATTAGAGCAATTTAACTGCTACCGTGGTATTTATTCTACCGTTTAGAAATTATAAATGGAAATACGTCTAGATTTGAACATAAAGTCTTGGGATATTCAGAAGATTTTTTTCAATTTAAGGCTTGTTTCAACCTATAAATATGCAGTTTCTGCCATTTGGGTATTCAAGAGCTTAATTGTTAACAAATATTTCTCAGATCAACAGCATGAAATGACAGATGGCGGATGTTGCAGGATTTTACATTGAACTTATCAATTAAACGTCTAATTAACTTTTAAATAGAGCTCAATCAGCATCTTGATAAAATTCAACAGGAAAATAATTGACTTTCACGACTTTGTTTTATTACTCATTTTATTATTAAATAAAATGCTAAAAGTGCCTTAGAGGGGACCCTTAACTTAGTTAATTAGCCAATTGATCACACTGATACTTTTTGGAAAAATTTACTAATTGACTAAATTACGTCGTTGTTTGAAATGCATATGGTACTTTGTTTTTGTTTTTATAATAGTTTTTTATATATATTGTACATACATGTATCCATATTTTCTATATATATATACGCTTCTAGTAATAAATTTGAAATATATGTGTGGATATTTCTGATTAAATTGTGCCATAGTTTATTAATAATATTTTATATTAATAAAAATAAAAATAAGCAGCCTAGGCAATATTAGCGCGGTGGAAGAAGCAGAATAGACTTAGTACGCACACATATTTCGACTACAAACAATGCAAATTAACATGCAGTTGTGTAATATATTTATGTACAAGTATAAATGTATTTATGTAAGTACATAATAACCGAAAATTTTATGGTTTTCCTTTCATTTAAACACAAAACAAGAAGTTGTGAAATAAGAACACATTAAATGGATTTTTCAGTGGAGAAGACAACCAGGTATATATTTCGCAGTAGATCTGAATAATTAGAGGATCTTCAGATCCAAAAACTTCAAAATAATATAAATGCGCCACTGCTTATAGATTAAGGACAAATACAATGAACAGATAACGTTTCAAATAACAGATAATTTTGGAATATTGGTGGGTATTTTGAGCAGACAGAGAGGTACTTTCATGAGTCCTTGGCAAGTTAGGCGACAATAATTTATACACAGAGCAGTAATTCTACCTTTGGCCCATCGCCACGATTTGAGTCTTCGCTACTCGTGAACGTACTGCACGTATCGATGCCTGAATCCTTAGTTGCCGAATCCTGACTACCTTGACGTTCAGCGTCCCAACGTGCCCAATCGGCAGCCGCATCCGAAATGCTAATCGTATTGGCAGTGTTTGCGTTTGCGCCCAATTTAGCGCTGGTCAGTATAGTGGCGGCGCCTACGTCCACAGCCGTTGATGGTAGAATTTGTTTTACTGGCGGTAATGTACCGGATTTTGTTGTACCGGTGCTCAACAGCGGCTCATCATGCCCATCAAAGCGTACCGTTTTCTTTATTCTACGTTCCGTGTAACGTCGCGAATCCTGTGCCGCATTTGTCAACATAACGGTCTCATCCCAATAGGGATCCGCCATTAGCGTACGATCGCGCCCGAGACTACGTGTTGCCGCAGCGCCAAGGCGTCGCGCACTACCTTCTTCACCGCGTGAACTACCACCAACTGTGATGCCGTAGCGATCATAAGCGCTGGTTGGCAGTGGTTTATCATCGATTACAATTTGTGGATTTGAATGGTGATGTTGTGAGAGCTGTTGCTGTTGTAGTTGAGAGTGTTTCTGGTGGTGGTAGCTGCCGGCACTGCTGCTGCTACTGCTACCACCGCCACCTGTAGTTGCCGTAGCCGTGGTTAAAGTTGGCGCACGTCGCGCCGTATATGCACCACTGTTGACGTTCACCAATTGTCGATCGTGATTCGTGCGATTGTAGACGTTCTGCTGTTGCACATCCAGTCGTGCGGTGCGCGTTAGTGGATAGCGTTCAAGTCGTTCGCGATGCAAATCGTAGCGATCGCGATCGGCTGACGAGTACAGACGATTTGTAGTAGTCAAGCGATAGTCGTTAGCGCCATAAGAGTTCGTCACACTTAGGAGGTCGCGCTCGTTGAGACTGCGCTGTTGACGCCAAGGTTCGCGTAAATTGCCTGTAGAGTGAAAGTTTAAGTGGTTTATGCTAAATGGTTGTGTTAATAGCCGGGGAGAAAGTGTTAAATTTCGGAGTTGAAACTGTAGTTTCAAATATTTAGAAGTCTCATCGGTTTGTTATCATATTCGTCCAATATCGACATTATTTTCGTAGTTCGTAGTACTACGCAAATGCAAGAACATAAAATCAAAACTGGTTAACTGAATTTGTTAAAATGAATTAGCTTTATAGCAAAAATAAGTTATAATTTCATTCGACATACGTATGCTTGTAATTAAAAAAAGGTAGAAAAACCAGTATCCGTCACAAGATGATTCAAAACGTTTTTTAAACACTTAGCGAGTGTTCGAACCAACGTGCGGGGGTATTACGAGTAAATGCAATAGATTGGCGGTATTGATAGAAAAAATCATTTAGTATAAGTGAGTCTACATCGTCTGCTGTTGTCTTTGGCACGATGAAGTTAGATCTCACATTTTTAAGGGCGTAGTCTGTTATATTTGTTGGTTGCGGGTTATTAAGATACTGACTAAACGCTGTTCGAAATGAGATCGGACGGTTTTAAAAAATTAAAATCGATTTTAGTTTAAGACTTTGAACAGGTCGAGAGACAGGTTTATTTTAAATTTTTGAACTCTTAGGGTTATTATACGAACTATAGATTGGATAATGAAACTTAATATACTTCATGTATTATAAATAAGTAACTACATTTACATACATGTCGCGAGAAAATGGTAAAAGTAATGCAAATAGAGGAATTGTGGTGTCAAAGTCGACATTTGGATTGAGTATTGTAGTCATAATAAATAAGAAAAATTGTCTTTATAATTTTAGTTATAAAAAAAAAGTGTTTTAAACTTGCAATTCTGAGTGTTGAGCAGGCGCAATAAGACCGACCATGGACGTTAAGCTCGAATTAAAGTTGGCATAAATTAGTGGATTTTTTAGGAGCAAGTATGAAACTCGGTCGGATGTCTAAGCATCGGCGATAATGCGATGGTTTCACCAAAGTTTTAAAAGCAAGAACTTGTGGCTAAATATAGTTTAACATTGGTTTTCCTATTAACCCTTCAATTTATAGTAAATATTTTCAATAGTTTTGCTTCATGCAAGATAACTTCTTTACTAGTAGAGTTACCAGACTGTTCGAAAGTATTTGTTAAATTTTATAAAGTAATTAAATATTGCAATAATGATTTTCTATTGTATTCTTGTAAAAAAGGAAAGCAAATTTGGTAAAAGTTTTTAAAATGTTAAATTAGAACGAAATAATGGCAAAAATATTTTTAAAAATGTTTAAAAAAGTTTCTATAGTTGGAATATTTATGCTTAAATAGTTTTCTTAAAAAATAAAATAAGTTTTGTTACTATGACTTAATGGTGGTATTTATTGGATATTTAGTAATAAATGTAGGTATAATTTGTAGTCGTAAACGTTATTGTTAAGTAAAAAGTACTTGAGTTGCGTTGCCATGCAAATTTTCCACATTTTCATATTAATATTTTACAATATTTTTTAAGGAATGAAAATGATTGAGCTCAGAAAATATATATATTTTTTAATTTTAAAGTGAATTAATTAATTAAATTGGAAACGAGTGGTATAAATACATACATAGAACGTGTGAACGTGTGTTAAGGTGAGGAGCTGTGTAACGGGGCGTTACAAGAGAGAAAGAGAGAGCAGTGCGTGTAGAGAATGTCAAAATATGGGTAATTCTTTGTTGCATAACATAGGTTATTGCAGTTAATGCGAGGCACTTAAAAAAACTTATCACACACACAAACACATAAACACAATACATGACACATTTGGCATACAACAACATTAGTGAAAGGAATTTTATATTTAATTAAAAATTAATTTAAAAAAATGTATAAGTTATTAAAAATTCATTGATATATTTAAATCTTTAATAAATGAAAACTAAAAAGAAAAAATATTTTCTGTATTTTTTTGTTTTGTCGAAATTACAACAAACGGGTGCTTTTTAGGTTTGTCAAATAAAATTTTTTAATAAAATACACACAATTGCAGCATTCCAAGGGGTGCCTGACTTACATAATTCAATAACTCAATTCAAAAAAGCGTGATTAATTTAGTAGTACTAGTGAGTAAGACTCGGCACAACAAAACATTTAACACACTAAATAAGTTACGAATTGTTAACGAGCGCAGGCTAGCCTGCGAGCGAGCTAGCGTCACGCGAGAGTGACAGTTATATAGACAAAGAGAGAAGAAGAGAGATAGAGAGGTATGTAGTATTATTTGTAGATTAAATTATTATCTTACATTCCCATGGATTTGCAGTTCACTCGGCGATAGTACGAAATGTACGCCGGCATTATTGACGCCGACGCCAACGCCGTTGCCGGTGCCAACGCCGACACCACCACCAATAATAATACCAGATGCTGTAGTTTGTAGCAGGGGTGTTTGGGGGCGAGCACACACATTAGCACAATTTGACGTGTGGGCCGTTCAATGTGTTTGCATTCGGTTTAAATTTTTGTTGTTGTTTGTTTTTTAATTGTGTTGAACATACGAGTACAGAGACATTTATAGTTGGATGTGGGGGGAGGAAAAAAAAGAGAGAGGAAGAAATCAAATTAAATACAATTTATTAAAGGGCAACCAACGCAAATGGCTTTATATGTGCGCATGTATATATGTATGTGTATTTGTTGCATTTTGTATTGGAGTTTCACTGTTATTAAGTTGGGTGGCAAGTTATTTCTATGTATGTATGTGTGTGCGCTCTTTGCCTTGTTGGTAAACACAGCGTGCAAGTGTTTGTTTACCGTTGCGTGTGCAAATTGTACACACACAGTTTGGTATATAAACATATATATATTTGCTTTTGTGTTGTAATTGTGTGGTGGTGTCTGTTGCAAAATTACATTGCCACAAATTTTGTGTACTAAGGCGTTTTGTTTGTTGCATGTTAACTTGTCTTTTCTGGTTGCACGCACAAGCGTTGGCGTGTATGTGTGTCTGTGTGTGTGTGGGCGTGCATTTGCGAACTGCAATTTAATATGGCTTTCATGTACATATGTGGGTATGCTATTATTTATGTTTCCCGTTTCATTGGAATTATACGGTTATTTCTCTGCTAAAGCTCTATTCTTAGCTATTTCACCAAAATTAAAGTAAAATTTAAATTTAATAAAAGCAAATTCATTATTTTATATTAGATTTTGAAATTGTGGAGAATTTGTTGGTTTCAATTAATTTGTAGCTAGATTCTATAGAAAATGCTACGCGTGGAAAAATATGTATGTAGAAATGTATATGCTAAGTAAATGTATAAATATATGCGTTTTAATAATAATTTTATACTATTTATAGGATATTTTAGGTTGAAAAGTGTAATCATACAATAACGGCGCAATTTTATTATCTATCTTATAATAAGGGGGGGAATTTTTTATATTTAGGTTTCATCCTCAGCGAAAGCGGAACCACTGCAACAGTGGAGTACCTTTTATTTTAGCGCCGATGGATCGTAAAACTAAAAATATGTAAAATTTTTTTTTCTTAAAAATTTCAATCTACATATTTTCTCGAAACATGTATAAATACACCCCGAAATTTTCAAAACAAACGGGACAGTAGTTTTGTTTTACATTCCCCAAAATCGACGATTTTTAAAAAAGTAATGAAAGCGTTCATTAAATTTTTAGAAGTTTCACACACAGTGAAGGCGGTGCAACTGACGGACGCATAACGAAGAACGACTATAAAGCCATGCTGATAAAAAAAATACTTTTCTTATTAGAACCCAATTTATTTACTAATATTTGGAACTAACTAAGTATAATTTAGAGATTTAGAATATATTTAGAGAAAATATTTGCTATATAAGCTTTATCTGTGATAATTTTCACATACTCTTAATAAAATTATAAAAAGTTTTTCTTTAAAATAATAGTCAATTTGTTAACCAAACTATTGATGTCATAAAGATGCGATATTGAACTTCGTTTTCTCATTTCCCACTACATTTATATGTATATATATATTCTGTTATATAATGTCAAATATTATTAATAAAAAAGTAAATCTGGAGTTAATTGTGGCATTAAATATAAATAGATAATGTGGAGGTTTACTTAATGTAAATATAATGCATAAAATATACTAAAGTACTAAATATAAAGGCTGTAAACCAACTAACTACAGATTACAATGAACTATACATATGAAAAATACCTTATTTCCTAACTTAAAATATCATATATAAATAAACTTGGCTGATATGAGTTTGTTCTGTAATACTTTATTTTAAATAAAAACCATAAGTAACAGTAATTGTTTCACAAATAACTGTTTAGAACTCAGTTTCGTAATTTTTATGTCATTATATCGTTTAAAGACAAAAAGGACGGAACTTTGCATTCACTGATGGGTCTTACGCCGACCACAGTTGGCTAATGGAGTGTAGGAGCTTTTTTTTTTATTCCAGAAATATTAAACGCTTGCTTGATTCTCATTATTAAAGCTCATGTTGAGAAATTACCACTCGGTAAAATATTATGGATCCAAAAAGCTTTACTGTGATAATGGACACACATAAATAATAACCACATACTTGTTTACTAAAAAAAAAAAAGGTACATAAATATAACTCTCTTCACACAAAATCTTGAAAATTGGTAGCATTAAAGCTTTTAACAAAAGAGTGTTGCTAATCATGTGATACATAGTACTACCCAGCTTTTCCGGTCGATGGTTGTTGTTTGAAGTTTTCTCTAATGATTGCACCTCGGTTTCGAGTTTGAGCTCATGGGTCCATGTTTCAGCGACGTTCATGAACCTATGCAGAATTCGGATTGTGCTTAAACAGCATCAAATGTTCTTAAGATTGCACTAGTTGCCCAATCTTATGCAGGATATGAACCACGAGGTCTTTTGAGATGCTCACAGTCTTAGCTATCCGGGACAAATTGAAGCTAAAAGCAAAGGTTGGAAGGGGACTTTTCTAACTGGAGCTC